ATTGTTTTCAAATCATAAAAAGTTCAGTGTAGAGCTGTCTACAGACCAGTCTCCAAGAATGTATACTCACTATAAAACTCCCTTCACATTGAGATCCCTAATTACCAATCTCGCGCGCAACTCCCTCCGTGCACAAGCTTCAAAGCCAGGAAATCTCACTGTCCATATGAGAATGGTTTTAGGAAGGCCCTGGGGTCAGTTACACAGCAACAGTGAGAAGTGTGGGAATGTTAAGCTTTCCACAAACAAAGTCTAGGTTACCCCTCATCTCTCACTCGCCAAGGCCTTGCAGCAATAATCACAGCCAGAAAATGGTATTTCATCACACACTGATCCATGTGAAGTGAAAATATGCCATTCTAGTCTCAATACTGTAAGACTATCATTGTACTTGCATTTTTGTGATCCTCACCTATTTATATTGCCTCAACCATTCAGATGGAGGAACACAATGTCATACGCTGAACTAAAGGGTTCAATGATTGCTTTCAAAAGGGAAACATGGGGCATTTTGACTCCAAATAATGCAGTTGTGGGTAATAAAGTTGCTGATTGGTTTGTAGATAGATAATGGCTTCTTCAAACATTAATTTAGAACAGCAACCTGTTCAATACAGTCTTTCCCCAAAAGTCCATATCTGCCTATCATTTGTCAAGTATTCCTGTTCTGTGGCCATGTATTGGTGCAGATGCCACATAATCTGAAATGAGTCCTTAATGTTGGAAAATCTTTGTCGTAAAACATACATCATACTAGGATGCAGTATTAATTACTGGATCATGGCCAGATCAACACACATGCCATTAGGGCACAACTGACGTATAGCCAGACCTATCTCCACACTTTGTTTTAGCTCTGTGCCAGCTCTGCAGAGATTAGTAAAGTGCATAGCTGGTAACTGATGGTACGGAAGGCTCTGTTGATTAAAAAAAAAAAAAAAAAAAAAAGGTAGCAAGACGTTGTGGTGGTGTTCATACTATCAACAGGAACTTTATTTCTTCAGCAGCATCGAACACAATACACAACCATAATGCTATTAGGCGACAACCTGAGGATCTAGCTCCTCTCACAGCGCTGTAGCTGAACTGAACGTGCTACCCGCGTTTTACATTAAAAATAGAAATATTTTAAGACAACACGACAATAATTTGATTAGTCACTTTTAATCACTATTCAAAAAAAAAAAAATCAAAAATCATGACCCATCCCTACTTATTATTTAGGTCTATTTCAGTTCTTTTCAAATAGGCTTAGTTAAAGTTGCTGCTTTATGAAGCCAAAAGTGAAAATGAACAGACTGAACTCAAGAAAACAAAGTGATTCTTCTCCGTTTGTTTTAAATTAAATAAACAGACTAATTTACAGTGACTATGACTAACATGTTGCCCTCCTTGGATCTCTTCTATAACTTCTGTTCAGTATAAGTTGAAAACCTGCAAATGTTGCAGGCTGTCTGGACTACTTCATCTGTTACACATATGCCTCGCAAAGCACATCTTAACAGTATGTCGCTAAAAATGCACAATGAAACAACAGAAAAACAAAAACTCCTATACAAAGACAATACAATACAACAGCGCTGAAATAACTACCTTTAAGCTTTGTGTGTCTATTGAGGAAAAGCCTTGTTGGCGTTGTAGATCTAATTTCACAAGTACATAGAAAAGCATCTAGTGACTGTTGGATTCTGTGGTTAGGCTCTGCGCATCACAAGGATCTTGTGCAAAAAGCACCTTTGCAGTTGCACTTTTGTAATCCGTGTGATATAAAACGTTTCTACAATTTCCGAGTTGTGTCAAGATATCACCGGTATTTACAAAAGAAAACTGACAGAAAAAGCATGATCTATTACTCTTTCCTTCTTGTCTTATTACAGCTTTCTCACTGCATCAAGGTAACCCACTCGTTTCACTGTGCCGTTCCTTTTGTATGGGAAACCAATCCTGGCATCGTGCCTGCATCACAGGCACTCATCAAAGCTTCTAACAGTACAGCACAGCACAGGTATCCTAAACTTGTCGAAATGTGGCAATCAGGAGGGCTTTGAAGTTTTCTTTCAAACCCCCTTATTGTAATAAAAAATACGGACATGCTACATATTTACAGGTTTTCAGGAGATGATTCTTAAAGAGGTTAGGTTTAACTCCTCTTCTACTGAGAATAAAATGAGTGCGTTATATTGTGGTTATTGTGAGTGTTTGCTGTATGTCCTCTGTTTGTTATCATAGGTTCACAGCCCTTGACAACACACACGTGGAAAGAAAATGCCGTCACTGATCTGGGAGACTGGTTTTAGTCTTGACCTCAGGACCAAGAGACAGATGTTTCCTACTGTAGCCATCACATCAAGGAGAGACTCAGAGCCGAGAGGTTAAGTGAATGCAGTTAACTAGCAGATATGGTGGAGAGGAAATAAGAGTCACTAGTCTACAAACCCTTTCAAACAGTTATGTAGCTTAAACCTGTGTTGGCCGTGCATCTGAATCACGTCATGGCGTATCATATGACCGAACTTCACAACGCTCCTCCTGACCACGGTTTAAAATGGGTTGGATACCACTTCAGTCTTCTCTGTTTGGGATGGTAATTTATTTATATTTTAGTGATGTCAAAATTAAATTTAACTGCCTTCCATACTACAAAATGTTCACAAGATAAACACAAATAAGAGAGAATCAGGGTGTGGAGAGAAATAAAAACTGAAACTTTATTTTGCACTTGTAATGTGATGATGTGTTTCTCATCAGCCATGTGTGCAGGTCGGGTTACTTGGTAGTTAGTCAACCAAACAAAAATGATGATCTACATGTTGAAAAGTTAAAAGGTGTTGTTCTGGTTAGGGCTACACGATTAATCTAAATCGCAATGTCGTCATGTGTGGTTACAAAAAGTGTGCGATTTAATGAAACAGAAAAAGTGTGTGTGATATTCTCTTCTCTAGCCGCGTTTTGACCAAAAGTACCTGGGACTTTTAAGTCCCCGGATCTCTTTTCAGGGAACTAAAAGGTTCCTTCAGCCCATTGTTGTGTTTGCATTTCCACTGCGATCTAAAGACCGGCGAAGATTGGGGAAATTAACCAGCTGACGTAGGCCTATACTGCGTACAAAGCGATGCACAGTGTCATTATTTAGCAACCGCTATCCATGAGCAAAATGTATAAATGAACATCAGATTTGATTTGAATATAATGAAAAACTATAGGCATTAAAAACGGCTTTTTTGTGTGGTAATATAATGAAGAGACACGCAATAAAGTTCGTTATTATTAATTTAATAACAAACTGGATAAAGCCATCAAGTTCTTAAAATAACACCAGCACAGAGAAAACAATACAAACGTAAAATCACGACAGCCTGGAAGGTTATTAAAACATTTCCAGCCGACAAGGGCTGCAGAGCAGCTGCAGCACTCACGACTGTGTCCGCCTGAGCATCGGAAGAATGGGATTTTTAACTTATTACCTGCTGTAATCAGCTGTTCCAGTTGTTTTGGAGGAGACCGACTTTGGCTCGGTGTAAAAACCTCCTGACTGATGAAAACTTAAAACAACAACTTCAGACCCAGTATTTAGCGTAACTCCATCTGCTGTTCGCTGTAAACACACTGCTGAACACTGGCTGCTGTTTCCCAGCAATATATTTAATGCCGACGTACGATCTCAGGCGGACATTAGCGAGACTGTTTTACTTGTTATTGTTATAAATATTGTTTAACTTTGTTCAAGTTGAGAACAACACATTTCAAAATGTCAGTATTACGCGCATTCCTTGATATTTAAGCAAGTAGACTCATAGTACGATTTGTTCCATTAAAATCGAATCGCAATATTGTCCACAATAATCACAATACGACTTTTTCTCCAAATCCTGCAGCCCTAGTTCTGGTCTTCCATTAAGGAAGAATATATGGAGAAGAAAGTGGTAAATGAAGCAACACATCAAACTGAGTTCATCCTCAACTGTTGATGTAGCTCAGTCAGTACAGAAATCGCAGATTTGCTGGATGTCAAGAACTCAAAGACGTGGCTGAAACATGGATAATATTAGAATTACGTGTACAGTGTCATAACCAGGTTTCTCTACGCCTGACAACAATCTCCCAAATATCATCAAAACCACGATGAGACTCACAACTGAAATACTCGTGTTCCTAATATATTTTTACCACATTAATATCAATAAACATAGACTAAATATTAGAAACACCTCTCAGACGCATGCCTTTGGTGTGAGAGACCTGGGTTCGAATCCACTGTGAGACACCAATGTGTCCTTGAGCAAGACACTTAACCCCAAGTTGTATGTATAGCAATTGTAAGTCGCTTTGGATAAGCGTCAGCTAAATGAGTAAATGTCAAGACAGATTGTTGTACCAAAAACATTTTAACATGTGTTGTCAGTCGTTACTGTCCAGTGAATGACAGAGTCATCTCTGTGCCCCAAAGAACATCTGGATTCAGCAAACGTTAGGTTAACTTTGCATGGGGTCTGCTAGCATTTGGGACATGACACTCAGAGGAAATCCGATTATTCTGATCCAAAATTGTACCTACACATATATTGTGTATTTTATGATCCATATGAATAAACTCCACTACTGCCAAGCTTGCATGTGTTGCATACGGACTGAACTCCTCGCACTTTTCAGCTTTTGACTCAGTTCGTGCAGCTTCTTTAAAAGGCACAGGGTTAGTAACAGAGTGAGCCAAAAGTAACAGGTACCACACTGGGTCAGACTGTTTTCATTAACGCTCGAAACCCCACAACACAGTACGTCCAGACACAGTGAGCTGAATCTGACACCGGTTACTTCTTTCAGATCGCTAACAAGCTCCACATCAACAGAAGTGCGTTAAGCTGGCTAGCGTTAGCAATGCTAACTCAGTTAGCTAACAAGCTATTCGTTAGCTCGCTAATGCTAGGCCCACTTCCACTGGTCCATTCCTGCAATATTCCACAGTTGTGATGTTGCACGTTGTAATGTTATTCTGTATTTACCTGATAAAAGTGGAAATGAAAAAGACAGCAGGCCTCTCCGGAGATTCCTGTTGGTCGTGTATCCAAACCGAGATATCCTTTGGAGCTTGATGAAGCTAACGCTGCAGGGTCCGATGAGGTTAAACCTTCCTTCTTCGTTTCCCACCAGCAGCACTCAGTGTTTGCACCCAACTATCGGGCGCTAGCACGTTAGCAAGACCAGCTAACTAGCATCTGCAAGGCAACCTACAAGCCAACTTCGTGTAGTGTTAGCAGGCTAGTGAAACACCGCTATCGTTAGCTGCTCTGTCAGACTGACGAGTGTTGGTCGACCCTCTGACTGTTTTCCTTTACTGTGCGACCTATGATGGGCCCGACCGTTACATGAGGAGAAACACATCCACTGAGAACAAACAGCGTGTCAGTTGTGGGCGATTTGCCGTTCACAGGCTCTTCAACAAGCGCAAGGTTTGTTCGTCTCCTGACTGTCCACCACCGACTGGAGAGAATGGCTGTCGCGTCATGATGATGGAACGTTTTTGTTTGCTAGTGGGCGCTCGAATGTGATGTAATAATACACTCCCCGGATGACATCCATGTGAGAAGCTGAATTAATATTTGGGTCTTTAAGTATCCAAACCCTGCTTCAATCGATTTACAGTTGAACTGAAACACTACTGCACCTCAATAGAACTCTTACAAAAAATAAAAAAGCAATAAAATGTCTTAATATTACAGAAGAACTGAATTTAATTGTAAATGTAACTGAATATCTGTGTATTTTGCATTTTTGTTACTGTATTGAACTATGCATCAATAATAAAAATAAAATAAAATATATATTTATATTTAGTTGTTTTCATGCACAAAGAAATGTGTCTAAACCGCTGATTGAAAATGTTTTTGGTTCTTAATGTTTTTATGGTCAATACGTTTTTATTAAATGAGACAGACTATCTGCAATAGCTTTACAATGATACAAATGATCTATTGGCAGACAGGGAAATTATAAGTCATCATGAATTTATTGTAAGCTTACATGTGTTCATTAGCATTAAACAAATCAGACACAAGATTGATACCATGAATGGTGCCAAATTATAAAGAACTTTATGAGAACTAAATGTGTACAACACATCACTTCATTACCAGTAGTGCTTGTTGATGTTATCTTGATGGTTTTGTAAGTAGTTTATCAGAGAGAAGTCATGAGATGATAAATAATCTTAGATACTACATAGTCTCACTAATTATTATAACTATACCTAGTATGGGTTTTTATTAAATGAGACAGGTGCAAATGATTCACAAATGTTTTTACAAAATAATACCCATATTTAAAAAACCTAAAAGACTTCACACTTTCCTAAAATAAATAAATTACATACAAACATGTTGTAAATGCATTTTAGGTCAGAATTTAATCTGCATTTGTGTGATTTTTCTTTACCATTCTTGTCATTTTTATTTCTATTTTATTTCAGTATATACTGTATAAGCTTTGCTTGTTCCCCCATTTCCTTCCTTTTTTATTTATTCAATGGGTTGATAAAATGTAAATATATTTTGATCAAAAAAGTTTGGGAGAAAAAAAACATGGGAGAGGTAAGACTAAAAACAAATTTGCATTCTGTATCGAAAAAGCATGCTGGATGATAACCTAGGCCTAAATTCTCTTCAGCCTATTGAGCCTCATTTTTTCATAGGCAAAAAAAGCAAGTGGTTGTGGATTAGCTGCTGCTCAAGTTTGCCCTGCAGTGCCAACCTTGGTTAGCTTTGGCTCATGGTCATTTTCATGCCCTGTATCTGGATCCTCCAGGGAGAGTCTGAAACCCTGAGATATCACTAAGCACCAAACATGTGATCCTGAGAAGTGTGGAATTGAGACTGGCATCCAGTCAATGAAAACTGAAAAGCAGCGCCTGGAAACAAAGAACGACTGTAAATATCCTCACTTTGTACTCTCTGTAGCTGTGTGCTTTTTTGGAAAATGCTCCTGCGACTCCTCATAGGAGTTTGTCATATAGGTGTCATCTCTCCAAGTCCTGTTTTGGTCATTTTGTCAGTGAAATAAAAATTTACTGCAAAATCCTGAGTATTTATGTGTCTAAGTCAGGGCTGTAGCCCGGATTTTAGAAATATTGTCCACACAGACACACACAGAATTTTGAAGAGACCTGAAAATCATCTGTCAAATATAATATTGGTTTGGATATTTTTTTACGTTTAATTCATTAAACTCTTCTGTTTTATCTTTTTTGTCAGTTTTTATTCATATTATATATATAAATTAATACACATTATTTTGTGAATAAAGAAATTGAGGCGTCCTGAACTTCTTGCAAGATATATTGTTGAATTGAATTTTATTCATTCATTTATTCAAGTCTAAACAAGTTAGTCTCACCCTTCAAATATAAAATATCAACCAGTGATTCAGCTCCCCAAATTTCCTGAAAAACAATACGGAGGACATGACCTCTACACTGCAGCCTTGGTTGACTGTTACAATTTTATCAAATGTGTCCAAATGGAGCAAGAAGCAGTCTTTCATAAGAGTCAGTGGAAAGTTTCACACGGTATGATTTGCTCATCATGACTCTGCAAAGGACCGAACTTAAAAACTATTGTGAAGTATAATGACACACACACACATACACTCAATATCTTTCTCACACACAGATTCCCTGGTGCATGCTGTGTTTTCCACCCAAAGATTGCCCAAGACTGAGAGAATGTGACGATTGCGACAGACGGACGATGCTCTGTAACATCACAGCTCTTGAAGGCAAACAAACACGGCTGCTGGCACGGCTGTGAAATGGAGCTGATACAGTGTGACAGGCAGCAACAGTGCCTGCTGGGTAGACAGTGATTCTGTCTACAAAGCTTGGTAAATTCATAGAGATGGGTCACTAGAAATATGATGTTATGAATGTGTCCTGTGGAGGATTACATCAGATTTCTGTGCACAGTGACAGACATGCCTTTACTCAAACATATAAAGATACCCGTCCTCACATATACCAGCAAATGTACTGCACTTGGTGCGAGACTCCTTTCCCTCTTGGTCACGTTGTCTGCTGAACAAGGCTAATGCTAAATGCTCACATTTCTTACTCAGTACATTATCCACAGGCATGTTTGGGAAGAAGCATTGTTATTCAGTTCACATGTGAACCAGTTTAGCCAGATATTGGTACAGTATGAACAATGCTGTTTGCAAGTGACACTGCCTGTGCACCCTACACCTGCTGCCAAGAGTAGAAGTTTAAATTTACAGTATTTGTATTTTCTCAGTAAGTTAATATTAGGTTTGAATGTATGAGCATACAATGTAGTACAAATAATATTTCTTTGTACAGCACTTTTTAGAAATGAAGTCACAAAGTACAGTACTTCCACTATAGGCAACAAATTAAAAACTTGCAAATGATATTTTCTTCTTTATAGATGAATCTGCAGATTATGTTATACATTTATCAACAAATTGTTTGATTAATAATATGTCAGAGAGATGGATAGATGTTCAGTATGTTTTCATGAGACAAAGTTCCAGAGTATAGTCTTAAAACTAGGAGAGTCTTTGCAGTCTGGGCCCTAATAAGCCAAGGAGGGACACATGGAGTACCCTTAAAAGAATACTCCAGTGATTTAATGTTGCATTTTCATACAGTTAGAGGGACTTGTGAGAGGCGACTAAAGAAGAGCAGTCAGAAGAGTGGTCAAAACTGATGCCGAATAGATATTCTGACTTTCAGTCCTGATATGGGTCAGGCTCCAAAAATGCTGGATTCCATTATGCAACATCTTTAACCCAGAGCCTTCCTGATGCAGGTAAACACCTATGTCTTTCCAACTCCATGCCTCCAGGGTCCGTTTGTCTTATGCCTTCTGTTTTCAAGCTAATGTCAAATTTGTTCATTTTTTCAGACTTGACAGAGCTCTTCCAGAGCCACAGAAGACATCATGAAACTGTTTTCACAGGCTGAGTAGTACTAAACATGACTTGTGAAATTGTGGTGACATGTAAAATCAGTGGAATGCCTCTTTAAATACACTTAATTCGATTATATAATCAACTCTAAACTTTGCTGGGAGCCTGTGTTAAGAGTCTAAGGCAGGTGTAATGTGCTCTCACATGGCCACAGTAGAGTCTGTAGCCTGTCAATATTTTTTTTGGTGGAGAAAAGTGGGAGAAGGCTGTTGCAATAATCAAGGCGTGAAAAGCATGTAAGATGGTCTCTGTTTTTCTCAAATTTGAAATAGGTCTTTCTATTGAAGTGATAAAAACATGATAGGACAAGCTTTTGGGTGTGATGCTCCAAGCATAAGTTACTACCAAGCAAGAGGCAGGCTTCATACACAAAAATTCAGTATTTTCTTAGGGGTTAGTTGTTGATTATGAAAATAGTGATGTTTAGTCAGCACAGTCTGACCAGCCAGACAGCAGTGACGATGCAGACATTGTGAGGTGACAGACAGAACTGCTGTCTGGAAATCTAATGAGAAGGGAAGTGAAAAGGAGGAAAAAATGGGGTGAGAGACTTATTTCTCATTTGTATTCATTGGTTTGCATGGATTGTCCGTCGTTGCTCCCTCAGACTTTCCGCTGGTATGAATTCCATCAGACACACAGAGCTCAGAGAGGAAAGCAGAGCCGACTCATCAGTGGATTTAAAGCAGGAGACATAAAATCTGAAACAGAGGGTGTACTGTGACAGAAACACGTATCCGACAGATGTAGCACACTTTAAACCTGCTGTTTTGTATATCATGTTCTGTCATTTTTAAACTGGTTTGATGACTTTCTTTTTAACAGTTACGCAGAAACAGAGAAGTGCATGGAAGTTTTATATACATAAGACACCATATTCAACATGAGAGAGTCTACAGCCATGCTAGCAGCTGTGTGAGGCTGTATTTAGTGGTGCCTTGAGCTGAACGTCATCATGCTAACATGCTCATGATGACCACACTAAGATGCTGATGTTTAGCAGATGAAATGTTTACCATGTTCTTCATCATAGTTTAGTGTGTTAGTGTGCATAAAAATGCTAATTAGCAGCAAGTACAGATAAAGTTTAGCTTTTAGGTGTTAGCTTATAAACTAAAGTAAAAATCTGACCTCATGACGGTGCTAGATGGAAAGTCAAATATCATCCTGGTGGGAACATCACTGAATGTATCTAAGTTCATGGCAATCCATCCAATAGATGTTGAAATATTTCACTCAAAACCATAAATTTCAACCTCATGGTAACAGTGTTAAGGAAAAGTCACTGGTTCAGAAAGTCAGTAGAATTCATTTTCTGAGAACCATGAGTGTCTGTGCAACATTTCGTGGCAATCCTACTAATAGTTGTTGAGATATTTCAGTGTGGAACAAAGTGGTGCACTGGGCAACCATAAAAAAAACTGCTATCCTAAGAGACACTCTGCCAGCATGGCTATAAATCATCATATTTTTATCAAGAGATTTTATTTACTGAAATTGCTTCATCATCAA